GCTCCTAATTAGGACATAACAACATTAAGAAATGGATGTTTCATTTGTTTTTTCCTCTTCTCACTGGAGATAGACTATTCTTTCATTAAGACAATGATACTGTCCTACCTAGAGCTCCTAAGTCCTTTTTTATGGTTTTGAGCCCATATGAGTTTGTCCATGACAATTCTTTCCTAGCATATCATTTATGATATTACCCCCTAAAAAGCGTCTTAAACTTTAACTACTAAGAGTGAAATTTCTGATGCTATGGATATATCTCCAGCTGTTGGAGGGTGGGCTTGGGGAGATGGCTTTTTGATTTGTCTTTTTTCAATCTGAAAGCCTATAAACCAATAAAAACAAGTCTGCAAAATGAAAATGTTTAATAGCCTCTCTGAAGGCCAGCCACTGTTACAGGAAAGTATTGAAGTTACGCAGAAAAGGAGTCTGAAGGTGATAGAAGTAGGCAAAATACCTTGCACAGCACAAGTGAAGGACACAAGAAGAACAGTAAGCTCTTAAAGAGACTATGAATACTGTCTTTATAATGCCTCCATCTCCCAAAGTGGATGTAGATGCAGGAGCATTGTAGCCAGTCACCAGTTCAGCCTTGGACTGCCTCAATCACTCCATTTCCTACTGCTTCCCTATCTGAGATAAGCTAGGAATAAGATATTTTTAATTAAAAGATAATTTTGAACGTGTTCTGTAATGAATGGGGAGCAGAGGAAGGGGAAGAATAAGCAAGTACTGAGTATTTTTTGTTGTTGTTCACAAAGCTTAGTTCTATAGGACTGTACTACAACTGCATGTGTATATGCTGTTTTAGCAGTTTAGGCTTCTTTCCAGACCTGTGATCTGTTAAGGTTATACTGGCAAAAGGCATCCATGCTAGAAAGCAATGGCACACTGTACATTTCAGACTGCTGAGAATGAGGGCTCTGTGGGATGAATACAAAGGAAGGGAAATGATCACAGTGAGAAGGAAGAGAGGATATGATTTTCTCAGCATATGTGGAACAGAGCCAGAGTTAACTCTGGGAAAAGCTGTACCTGCGTAGGTGTAGCAAAAATGTTTTAAGGACAGGAAATCATTTCTTATCACCAGAACAGATGCTAGAACTTCTAGCTATATCTACTAGTAAATTAAACTGTGCAATACTGTTTAATTGCTAGAATTGTCCTTGGCAGAGTTTTTGGTCTGGGCCAGCTAGTGCTCTCTATTGAATGCATGCACTTCATTAATATTGTCAAACCATGTTCACAAACCTGTATTTCCTGTCATGTCCTAACAACCAGATTGAGCTCATTATTTGCTGCCAGGCTAACTATGGCAATTGTCTCTTGTCCATGTGGATCTCTCAAACCTGATTTTTTTTGCCTGATCTTCTTGATTATATAAGACATCAGCCCAAAGGTTGCTGTCATCTTTAGATTTATATAAACATGATTTTGACATTTCAGTAGACAGTTGTCATTCTTGCTGCTATCTCTCAGCCAAAATGTACCACTTCCCTTCCTGCTTCCCCTAAATTCTTTTTAATTCCTCCACAAATTATACAATTGCTCTACATTATAAGCAATGCAGTGTTGACTAGAGCTTTTTTTTGTCTCTTGGCAAAAACATTATTTTTCTAATTTTTCACCAGTAACTTGCATTTTGGAAGGGATTGTTCTATTTGTTTTTTTTTTTTTTTTCCCTCCTCTAGATAGTTGGTAAAAGGAGCTGAGGATAATATACAGTCCTACCCAATATCTCAGGTTAATCATTATATTTCCTCTGCATGAACATCAAACCTCTCTCAGTTCAATGGCGATAATTTGGATAATCTATTAAGTCTAGCCAGATTCGGATGTGATCATCTAGATGTGATTTAATATTTTAGGAAAATCCAAAGAAATCTAGACCATTTTCCCGTTATCCTCTAGAACTTACTTATAGATATATACATATTTATTTGTTCAATTGTTTCTCTTTCGGATCTATTAAAGTCCCAGACCCTTTTCCAGGAATCAAATCAGAATTCAATAATATACTCAGACAAGTGTATGTACATCATATGAAATTAATTTTGTTTGTAAGGGACCCTCATAAAAGATGTTTTTGTTCTCCATTTTCTGTGTTCCTCAACTAAGTCGAACACTGTAACAGTTTCATCACAGAATCACAGAACTGCTGAGGCTGGAAGGGACCTCTGGATATCGTGTAGTCCAAGCTCCTGCTCAAAGCAGGATCAACTAAAGCAGGTTACTTAGGGTCATGCCCAGTTGGGTTTTCAATATCTCCAAGGATGGAGACTCTGCCACCTCTGTGGGTAACCTATTCCGGTGTTTGACCACCCCCACCGTAAAAATTTTGTTTTCTGATACCTAAATAGAATTTCCTGCATTTGAATTTATGGCCATTTCCTTGTTTCCTCTCATTGGGTGCTACTGAGAGGAGTCTGGCTCTACCTTCTTTACTCGTTCCCATTAAGTATTTATAAAGGTTGATAAGATCCCCCTTGAGCCTTCTCTTCTCCAGGCTAAACAGTCCTAGCTCTCTCACCATCTCCTTGTATGAGGGGTGCTCCAGTCCCATAATCGGCTCCGTGACCCTTCAGTGGACTTGCTCCAGTCCAGTCTGTCCATATCTCTCTTGTACTGGGAAGCCCAGACCTGGACTCAGTACTCCAGATGTGGCCTCACCAGGGCTGAGTAGAGGGGAAGGATTACCTCCCTCAACCTGCCGCCAATGGTCGTCTTATGCAGTGCAGGATGCTGCTGAACTTCTTTGCCTCAGCTGCTTGCTTATATTAAACTTGTCATCCACCACGATTTGCTAATTAAATCTTGTACTGCATACAGTTTCTGGCTCCTTTCCTTAATGAAGGATCAATTTTGTTCATTTCAAACAAATCTGGTCAACATCTACCATAGAGTCAGATGATTTTCACCAGGAAATTTTTAAAAGATACTGCAATATTTGGTACGCCTTCCTGATAGTATTCCTTGTAAAGTAATTCTATATATCAACATATACGGAGCTAATCTTCTATTGCTTTAAAGATTTCATCTATGTTTCCCCTTGAGGGTTAGTCTTCTCTTTTGTTTACACAACTCAGTAATTGTTTCTTCCTGAAGAACTTCTTCAGGAGGCAATCCACTGTTTATGAGATGCTGTGAACTATTCAACCTACTACAATTACTGCAGCTTTTATTCAACAATTTCCTTTCATTCCATTTCACAGATTTTCAGATTGCTGCTTAGAACAGGTATATTCAAGGGTACTTTCTGATTATTTCTATATGCTTACTGTAAGCTTTATAGTGGCTATGGCTATGGTCAAACCATAGCCATCCTTCTCAAAGAGTGGTATCCCTATAATAGGTATAATTTTTCTTCCAAATGATAGAAAACCTTGGAGGTAAATCTGGCAACGTCCAAATTCCTTTTACATTTGGTTAAGAATGTATCTAAAGATGTCCTCTCTGAATACCCTTTCTTACAGACAGGAAGCTGAGACTCATATCTTTAAATATGCTTAGGTATTTATATGTATATATGTATATATACATTTAACTGATTTTAGCGGGAAATTGGTACCCACCTATTTTCAGAAACAGTAGAAGTTTGTCTGCAGGAAGTCATAATGAAGAAAAGAATCAGATAACCAAAATTCCTTATTACTAGATTCACCTTACTGCTTTATTAGATATATTTGACATTAATGTAACACTTTGTAAGCTACTGACATTACAACAGCTATTTAAAGTTGACATTAATTTAGATGTACTTTTAATCTTGGTAAATCTAAATGCAGAGGCATGATTTATTTGAAATGAAATAAAACACTAAAAAAACACCACTGTCTTTCAAGCAAACCATTTACATACAGAGCTCAGCAGCAGCAGGAGCTCTGACTGAGAAAACATACAAAATACAAAACCTGTCACATCCTGGAACATTCTTCTCCAGTCTTGATTTCACAGAATAACCTTCATAAAATTAAGGTAACAATCTACTTATTAACTTATCTCCATAAGCATCAAAATTTCAGCAATGTTGCTTGCATTTAGTAGCCTGGAATAAAACTGAAAGATGCCACTGCAAAAATATACTACGCTGAGAACCATAATTAGTAAATTATTGTGCTGCATAAACTAATGGAAGTTTCTCTTTCTCAAGAGAGGAAAATATGTAATGAGACCTGTATTGTATTAGCAATACCATCTTTATATTATCCATAGTGCTAACATATTAAGGAATTTTATATTTACTAATAGAAAAGAGGATTGCTAGCATAATTCATGAACCTCAAAAGAGTTATTAATGTGATATGGCTACTCTAATGAAGCTTTCGCATTCAAATTGCTCAGAACAGAATTATTTGATACAGAAGTATTCACTTGCTCTAGTGAGTTTTGAGAATTAAATAATCTGTTTCTAAATACTCAATATCTATACAGGCAACAAATATATATGTAGGCAATAATTGTAGCCAATTTATACTATTAGAATTGTTAGTTAAGGGCTTGATTCTCTGAAAATTTCACCTTTGACTCCCACTAGAAAGAAGGGAGTTTTCCCAATACAGAAAAGGCAGTTGAGATAATGAGAAATTATAGGATCAGGACCAACCATCATGTTTGAGCCATGAGTCAGAACCATTTCAGAAGCCACAAGCTGGAGTAGTGCATAACTAATTTGTATAGTTTACTATGATGACTGACTTCAACTGAAGTAAGCGTATTCAACGCTCAACCCACTGCAGTCACTTTTGTAAATCTGTAGTCCTATCTAGGGGGCTCAGTTCACTTTGCAGTGCTCCTGGAAGTGCTTAAGTAAAAATAAATTCAGTTCCTGTTCCTCTGATCATATATACGATATAATAAAGGGATGACAGAACAAGAAATTAAAGTGAAATTGTGAGAAGCAAAAATCAAGAAATAGTAATGAGGCCAGCTGAGTAATAAATGAGGGAAAATAATGGAGATGTCATTTATTTTATTTGGTAGCCCTTTTATTTTCCCCTCCCTCTTGGAGTGGAGCAGCATCCATCTCACTTCTGCAGTTCATGGAAGTGGATGCTAAATCATCAGTTCCACAAGAATTGAAAGGACGATGCTATCAGCTCACACTGCTCCTGGCCCTTTTCTTCTCTGCTGTTTATTCAGCCAGCAATGAGCACAGCGGTTCTGCACTGACTTTGACTTGCCAGTATTAATTTCAAAGCTTTGGAGCTAACTAGATGGAGCAAGAAGCATCAGGATTACTTAGGTGAAGGAGAGGTTTCCAACACATGCAGCAGCACAGTTCAGCTGTAACTACTCAGGTTCATTTTCAGGTTGAATGTGTTAGTTCCCATATGCCAACGGTGAGGAAGCATCTGTCTGTGGGAGATAGTATTTTCAAGAGGCTATTAAAAACCTTAAAAACTATTCCTTTCCTAAGCTACTAATAGCTTGGTCCAAAACATTAGTTTTAATTCAGCCATTTCCATATCGACCAAATAGGCTTTCTGATACAGATTTAGACCAAATGGAACATTTATGACTAGGAATATGGCATGAACAACACAAATTTGATAAAATTGGTGATTTTCTCAAAAGCTAAAGAAGGGGAAGAGAATAGCACCTACGAACAAAATCCTGCATTTTTTGTGAAATGATGTAGCTTTAGCACTAAAAGGGTTTTATGACATTCTTGGCTGGTATAAGCCACTCAGGTTCTTGTCATTAACCTATTGTACTCTGATAGCAAAATGGCATATTTTTTAATACCATGCTATCTTAATACTGCTGAAAATCATCACTTGACAAATCATATAGATATGTAGGATGTTTTGAAATGTTCTTATTTCCACAGTCAGAACTGGGGACTGGTATATTATTACCACTAAAAAAAGATTGGCATTCTGAGAAAAATCAGTGCAAAATAACTATTTTCTTTCCAGCAAAAGTGGGGCACGGAAGTGCCACAGAGTTTGCAGGGTGCTGAGTCCCCATCTTTCTGTATATTTTCTAGTGAATAACAGAAAGTTCACGGATATCTTCACAGTATCCACCTAGGGCAGGAGCATAGCCAAAATCCATTTCACTTGGTCGCAAATCTTCTATATAGGATTTCAGTTCTTCTGACAGACTGAGAAGGCTGCATTAACTTATAGTCTGAACTGATTCTCAGTCTGCACGTTTTCATTACCACTGAGAGAATTCCGTTGCAGTTATGACTTACCAGCTTCTTGTTTTCTTAAACGAAGCTGTTCATTTGAGGAAGAGAGAGAAGGAATTGTTACTGCGATAAGAGTATCCTATGTCATTGTTTGTTAAAGCTTTGAAAATTCATCTTCACTTGACTGAAAAATTAATCAGATTACACTTGAGATATTCTTAAAATCCTATACATTTTAATTTATTCCCTTGTGCTATTCACCTACCTATGCTGATTCCCCCAACTTGTGCTTTAAAAAAAGTCTTTTTAACTAAAACATCTGGAGACTTATTAGAAAAATATTTTTTAAATGAAACTGGGGAACTACTGAAAAGTAGATTTTGCATATATACCATCTTTAGCCTTTGTGGATTTTAAGAACAAGATGCATTACACTCTGAGACTGCCTGACCCAATGATTTTTAGCGTTGTGCACCCAGGAAGAAATATTCTGATTAACTGTTAAAATTGCTCACCTGTGTTGCAGACAATTCCCAATGACAGTGTTGCAATATTATGTTTCGTGTGATGATACTGGCCATGTCAAACCTGAAAAGGATGCATTTTTAAATAACTGTATAATTTATTTATTCCTTAAGCTCTGCAGAACATGCTCTGTTTCCTAAAGGAAAAGCAAAGTATACAATAGCTGAAAAACCCCAAAAGAAATATGGGAATCTCATTACAGCATCCACCAAATTCGGACTCATAAAAGCAGATCTTTCTATTTTAAAAGTATCTACTCCCCTGAAGAAGATTTTGTGATCCACAGGAAACTGTAAAGGAGAAAAATCATTAACTGCTAATGCGAAGTAATTGTTGAAAGAATTACTGAAATGAAAAGGCTGTGCAGTTGAATTTTCCAGCCAATATGGATGAAAAGGAGAGAGAAGCTGCAGATGACCCTGAGAGGGGGAAAGAAAATAAATTAACAATGGCAACTGAAAAGATTTATCGGAAAAGGGTCATCTTTCAGGAGAAAGACATAATGTACCCTATCTTCTTATTAAAGTGGAGGAGAATCAAAAAAATTACATAAAATAAGTAACTAAAATAATGACAGTGATATTGCATTATAGCACATTAAGGTGATAAAATACCCTCCCTTTTCCTTCTTCTTCAACATAGTTTTCTCTATTTCTTGATAGATGAAGAGAAAAGCACACAAACAGCTAATTTTGTTTCACTGTGTCTTGCCGCTGACACTCAAGTGAACGTGTTTCAAAAAAAACATTTTTTTTTTTAGAGAGGACTAGCCTATAAAAAGAAATAGTAAAGGAGAAAAGCAAGGAAGAGGATTCCTCTGTAATTTCAAAAAATATTAGTTTCTTCCTTCTCATTCTGTGTATTCCAACAACTAAGTGTAGTTTTCTATGATGCAATTAGCAACAAAATGTTTTATAGAGCATATTAGATATCTTTCTCTTGCAAATCATGATTGCTAGTTTGCTGTGTCTATAAACGCTATGCTATGTTCAAATTCAGTGACCTAGTTATTATGTAGCTTCCGTTTCCACCGCACATTGTCCAGACCAAGTTTGTTCTTTATTTTCTTTTTGCTTTGTTTGCTTAGGACTTCATTATACCATTTAGTTTTTGGCTTGTAAATGACTGGTTTTGGGACTGTCATCTCTAGATAAAGCTTGTCAGATACTTAGTACTGTGGGATGCCAAACAAGTTGAGTTTCCAAGTACAATGAGAAAGCTTTCCAAAAATAGCATCTCTAAATAAAAAATGACATAGGCACCCTGAGGTCATGCAGACCTGCGTTTCCTAGTGCCTTAGGTCATTTTTGAAAACAGAAATTTATCCCTTCCGAAAATAAAATGAGTTTGAACTGACTGAAGGTTACAATAAAGTATAGCACTTATCACAGTTAAGCAAGCATTTGTATTAACTAATATCCAACAAATTTAACCTTTCTCACTAATTCTATAACAATGAATTAAATATTGCCAAGGAACAGACACAAGGGCCAGATAGTCATAATCTATAGTAATGTTAGAAGAGTCTATGACACAGCTTTGGTCTTGCTGCATACTGCTAACTCCCAAAATTTCCTAAGTTTGGTATGGAAGCATAAGCTTTTGGTGGCTAAAGGAGCTTCGTAATAAGGATATGGTGAGAAGAGGTCTTTGGGACCATGGACAGAAAACAGGCACTGTCCACGTCCTATTTAGTTCGGTAGTGCAGATGTAGCCTTTGAGAAAGTTATTACCTGGACAAGAACACAGTTATAGCTATATGAACAAATGTGATAACTTTGTTGTGTTTTTCTTTTCTTTCTTTTGTTTTAACTTCATCTTTTATTTGCATGGAGTTATTCACAAGCGTTTTATGGCTATATATTCACTGACTGAGGTATAGTCATTAATTGTGACTAGTCCAATAAGGTACATGGCTTTACTTCCATTCTTTTAGTCAATAAATGCTTACAAATTTCAGACAAGAATATTCACTGTATGTGTTGAAGATTATTTCACCTGTATGGAAGTGAATTATACCTTTTGATTAATATTTATGAGATGAAATGTGACCTTCAGAATACTTGTGAAAAACGACCTCCAAAAGTGAATCTTTCTGTCTGAACGTAAGTTTACATACTTCCACCAATACATCCAGCTCTACTAGCGGCACAGGAAATGTACAGTGATAGGTGTATCTTCACTAACTTATTGTATGCTACACTTCTGCTTTGGCTTTTTTTCCTGCAGAAAACAAGAGCATGAAGCACAAAACAAGCAAAGTGCCTGGATTCTGTGCTTGTCATTTTGAAAATATTTACTAGCAGTTTCCATATGCTATCTAAGCTCACATTTTTCTATGTTTCTTTAAAAAGTCTTAGATCTCTCCAGTGCTGTTTTGTGGGACTATCTAGCAAATTATTTTATTATGTTTTGTTTTGTTTTGTTTTACTTTATTTTATTTTTATTGTATTGTGCATTGCCTGATAACAACGCAGTTAGCTTTTTCTTCTAATGGTAGGTTTACTGATGCTCTTGATTTCTTATGCTAACAGCAAAAAACCTGTGGCATTGCAGGTACATAAATTGGAAAGCACGATGGACACTTCATCTTGCCAGGTCTGACAGCATGACTTCTAGACACAGAAGTGCTGCGCAGTGTGGAACTTAGACCTTTTAGCTTCTGATGGTCTTTGAATTACATTGTTTGTGACAGATCATGAAAGGACATGAATGTTGGAACTTTGAATGTTCACTTTTGTTTTTCCATTTCTTTCATGAAGATAAAAGTATTTCTTTTTGACATAGACAACAACATTAGGGGCTTTATTTGTTCTCCTCTCTCTTTTATCAAAAAATATTGATTACCTTATAATGGTATTTCTTTTCAGGTTGTTGAAGAACAAAGCTTATTCTGTTATTCCAACTTTCTTGGAACTGCTGTGTTTGTAGTTTACATTTGTCTGCAACATTTCAGTCAAACAGCTAGCACTGCTCTTATTCACTTCAAAGGTGTGAGATGAGCAGTTGCCATTACATCAAGGCTCTATATTCTGCTACATTTTATCTGTGATAGTCACACAGTTTATTTTCTTATTATTAGGTCAAATTGAGTTATCTTTATTCATGTTTTCTGAGCAAAGAAAGAGACTAAACAGTTCCTGCTTTGGCCAGTAGTTGCTGTTAAATAGTTTTCTTGTGATATAGTGGGAAAACGATTCTGGACAGAGCACTATCCTTGAATGTTTCTAGATTCTAATTTATTTTGCTTCCTGAAGACAGACGTACGTGCGCCCGCATACGCGTACACACACACACACACACACACAGAGGCATGCACACAGAGGCATGCACACACATGCTTAACTATGACAAAAATGTTCAGGAACATCTTGAGTAATGAACACTTCCGCTATAGATGGGTGTCCTAGTCATACCTCAAAAGAAATATGATTCTGATTGCCACAGCTTTAAATCTGACGATATTTAACTTTAACATGTATGGCAAGAAACTGAAAATGGAACTGCATTTTGTAAAAAGCTAAAGTGTATATCTCACTGTCTATTAAGGAAGGATCGAAAGATTGTGTGCAGTGCTTCAGCCTGATTGTTCTATATACCGCCAGATCCACAGGAAAAGAAAGGCCATGCCATAAATCTAACAAACACCGTGAGGGAATAAAAACAAAATGGTAGTGACAACAAAATCAAGCAATGGCAATAATCAATGACATAATGGGGTGGTTATGAATCAGTCTTCATTGTTGTTTATTTTAGGTATAAGAAAAATTTACTGATCATTTGGGGGAACTAGAAATATATATGTGGGTAAAAGGAAGGGAGAGACAGAGAGAGAGATCAGCATGCTTTCCTTTTAAGATTAGTGGAGTTACAAAATTTCATCAGCCCTCACGTGTTAAAGAAGGGCTGGCTTAAGTGGTGGACCCCAGATCTTCCCTTTGGAAGATCCAAAGACTGCGGGCCACAACTCATCAACTTAGGATGGGAAAGGGTCTGGAGGTCAGGAGTCCAAGGAGGGAAGTACATATGTGCTGGATAAGACAAAAGCCGATTCACCCGTGGTTTCTCCCATCAGCGATGAGGAATACGCAATGCATTTTGCATTGCAGGGCTCTGCCTGGGCCTTTTGTGGGCCTTGTTGGAAGTTGTGGAGACTTTCTGGGGACCCCTGAGGAACTAGACGGTGCTTGCTGCTAGCAGGAAGGGAGAGCTGGGCAAGGACTCCTGCAGGGGACCTTGACTTAACTTCTCCTGGGAAGTGCTAGCTAGGTGGGGCTGCTGCTAACGAGCTCTCTGGGCTGCCCTGGTCAGAGGGAGCTGGGGCTTTTGTTTGATTTTGGGAACTGTGGATCCCGCAGTGCTTTCCCTGTGCTTCTGCTTCCAGAAGTCTAAGGGAGTATGCAGGGGAATTGTAGACAGAAAAGAGTAGTAATAATGTGAGTAAGTTTTGAACTTGAATTTTTTTAACGCAATGACATCTATTTTCTCATTTTTTGCAAAAATTAATTTAACTGCCAGATAAATGCTGTAGAAATAAATAGACTGGAATGATTCTTTCAGAATTACTACAGCCTAATACTATACTAGTACATACACAAACACTCATACACGTGCATTTGTATCAATATGTGCATTTATATGTGAGCATATATAATTTCATAAAGGAGGAAAAACTTTTTTTTCTTAAACGGGCTAATTAATTACATAGTGCCTGATAATTATTCTAGTGAACTTTCTCTGTCCATGCTCTACTGCAACCCTGTTCAGGAAAGTCCACGATTTGTCACAGCAAGCATGCAGAAAAGGCAGAATACAAATCCACTGGCCTTCATTATATTGTATACCATGATGACAATCTCACTCCGTCAAAACACTGTCAAGTACTCTCCTCCCCCAAGCAAGCCATAATTTTTATTGGATAAAAAAAAGCTTATTTCTGCATTCCTGTAAAGAAAACATGAAAGCTGAGTCTCCTCTATAGCATACAGCAGGTATATTTCTCAATTGAAAGTATATCTTTAACATATTCTTCATGTAGCAGGAATATTTCTCAATAGAAAGTATATTTTTAACATATTCTTCATGTGTGGATTTCAGTATATTTGTGTTCATACAGTCTCATATGATAGATTCTTTTATTTTATTTGAAGTCTTTTCCTTAAAGCAAGCATTTGTATTTTCAACTTTAGGTAAGGTTCTAAACATTAGCATTTGTGTGCATTTCATTCAGCCTACCTCATCATTTTCTTGTTTCATGCCCAGGGCTTAGCAGTTGGAGTTTAAAAACAGCCAGCTTTAATGTCTGTGACTGACATGTAATTTCTGCTTACTTTAGAGCTTTTTTTTTGCTAACTTTGCCTTTTTTAATATTCTTTCCTGTCCATAATCACAAAGCTACATAAGCTCTTTTGTGGCTTAATAAATATTGTCAATTTTTTAAAGCTCAACATGGTGTGTATTCTTCTTCAAAGATAGTTATTAAGCTTATAAAAAGAAGCTTGTTAAATTTGTAGATTCATTTTTGTTATTATTACTATTCCTATTGCTTATATTTAAATGAGGAAAGATAATCCATTAAAGAAGCTGAACTGTCAAAAATACTTCCATATCTATAATTAAGTATAACCTTCCTGGGTTTAAATAACATTATTGTTATGACACAAACTAACAAAAGCTTCTCGATTTGAAATGAAATGCTCTACCTTCCATTAGCATGATTGTTGTTGGGGGGCTTGGAAACTCAAAGCCATGTGCGTGCAAAGGATGTATTTAGCTCATAACTACAGCATTAGTGTCTCGCATTTCAAAAAAAGGACAGCAACAAGCAACATGCCTATTTGTAATATATATATTACATCTTAGAGCCTTAGATTAAATGTTTAATGGCATACATGTATCTTAGCTCTACAAAAGTGTTGTTTAGATTAGAGCAGTTCAGGAACCCAGCAGCACAGCTATGCACTCGGCTTTGCCTCTCATTATCTGATCAAGTGAACTGTTCTGAAATACAGTGGATGCAGTTTTCACAGTACTGAGAAAGAAGCTTATCATTACAGTGAGAGAGAGAGAAAAGGAATCATTTTCCTCAGCTAAAAAAGTTTTTATTTTTAAGAAAAATACTTTGTATAGTTTTTTTTACATTTTCTGTAAAATGGAAGATGCACATAGCTGAATACGGATTTTATTCAGATTTTACCGTCATTCAACTGAAGTTATTGGCAGAGCTCCCAACAAATGAATTTTAGAGTAGTAAGAAGATGATGTTAATATATCTATTATATTTTTGCCTTTTAATATCCTCACCACCCCACTGCATGGCAGAGTATGTACGAGCAGCTACCTGCTGAGACATACACAGCCATGTAAGACAAACAATTAAAATATGTAAAGCCAGCATCTGTGAGCTCACAACTCATCCCTCCCACACCACATGTTTAAACAAGAATAGATAGTCAGATAGACTGCAATTTGATTTGAGGTTTGCACACATCCTGCTTTCTCCTTGTTCCTACCCAGTTCATTTGCTTTATATAGCTACCTGTGTATAATTTTTTTTCTAACTGTAAGCTATTTAACTGATGAGAAGTTCTCAGCTTAATTTTTTTTAACGTCTACTACAATATATCATTTTATTAGCTATAGAAGTAATGTGTTTAGATAGCAGAGGATTTGTGTTAGTGTAATGACTAGTTCTGGTTATTGTTCATACAACACTGGAAATTATTGGAAAGATTGAAATGAACTATATGAAGAGTGATCTTGGCTTTCTTATTTTAACTAGTTTTCTACTACAGAAAAGCCTGCAACTTCATCTACAGTTTCTCTGTTTCACATACAGTACAAATTATTAATACTAGTCCGTATCATTACTGATAAAGGACTAATTAAAATGAAAATTTTAGGCAAAGTATTTCAGACAGGAAAGTGGTAGGGAATAAAAAGGAAAGAAGAATACAAAAAAGAAGTGGAAATCAGTTCATAGGAATTCAGTGGAACAGTACTCCAATCATATGTTGGAAAAGAAAATTATTGGAAAGCACCCACTATCTGTCATAATTTCCCAAAAAGCCCATCCTGTCCCAGTTGAGTATTTCAGGGGGATCATTCAGGTCAGTGAAACAATGAAGCAAGATCTGGTAAAACAGTGAAAGTAGTAAACTGCCCATTCCAGGATTTGCTTCTCTTACTGCATGAGGTGTCCCATCTCCTTTCTAAGCTACCTCCTTTCTTAAAACAAAGCGTATAAATGAGCCTTTAGCAATTCACCTTTTATTTTTGTACATAAGCTTAGTTAAAGGGAATGCTAGTTAGTGCATTTCATGTACAATAGCATGCACTTGTCAAATCGGATATCCTTCAAAATGAACTCTCTGTGTTTGGCTTTATTTTCTTCTAAAGCAGCTGTAGGGTTTATGGTGATGTATATTGAGAACATACTGCTCATTTGTTAGAGTACATCGGGTTTGGTGCCTTGAATAGTCACTGCAGAACACATTTTCATAAGCCTCTGTACTTATCATTGTGTCTCATATATTATATCCGTGACAAATTGTAGCAAATTTCAAAGTAAAATAAAAATGTTCAGGAGAAGGAAAAAAGAAAGCTAATTTAAATCAATCTTAAGTTACACAGGTATCAAACAGCATAAAACAACATTAAGTATCTTTTTTACACCCTCTCATAAAATGCATTCTAAAACCCTTAGAAAAAGCTTCCAGCTCACACTTCAGAGCAAACCTTTGTACTATAAACTCGAAGAGTATACAAAGAGCTGTTTACCTTTCTACACCGACTCACTGTTTCTGAGGCCAGAGAAAATGAGAGTTCTACTGTGTCCTCTCATCCAGCTAGAGAATTTAAGCAGCTGCTATAGCTCTTAATTTGTTTGTTTGACTAAAGAGTATATGGCATTTTGCAGTATCTTTAAACCTAGGAACTATGCTGGTTTCTCCATCGTTCGAAGATATATACGCAGGCGCATCTTCAAGCACAAACACAAAGCCATATTGGCTCTAGGCTGTTTGTGCACCTCAAGATAGGATCATCTGTAGTTTTTGATATATCTGCCTTGCTCTGGCATAAAGACAGCATTGCTCTCTGAAGTGCAATGTTCTGATTAAGAAAAAAGTAGATTGGGATTCCAGTGCTTTATACAAAAAGCGCTATATAGCTGTCTTGTAGCTCTGACAAACGTTGCAGGGTTGGTGCATGTGTACATATATGCTTTTCAGCTGAAGGTTAAGCCTGCCAAAGCCTCTTGTTCTTGGGGATCTATCTGCAGTTCATCCAGAAGTCAGGTTAACATAATACATCTAATTTGACTTTGAAGGAGAAAAGCACATTTTGATAATGATCTTTAAAGTCCTGAATATTTTAAGTCTTGGTTATTTTAGATACTGTTAAGGTTACAATTAAAATATATTGAGACTCTTTTGTTTCTGCTTTTTAAAAGTGATTTTCCTGAACTGGTAGCATGCTAGCTATAGAATGGAGTTCTTCATTAATATAGGTTTTGCAAGTTTACTCTTAAAGAGCTTTTGGGTAGAGAAACTCAAATACTTAGAGTAATTTAAAAAAAGGTAATGAAAAAACAGTTACCATTCAGGAGCAGAATGGCTGTATTACTAATCCCATAGCATAATATATAGTGTGAGGTAAAAAAATAAAAAAACAGAGAAAAGGGAATCAGACTAGATACAATAAGAAGCTTGACTTCATATAGTGAAATTATTTATAGAGAAATCAAACGTCTTGTACTGAAGATTTTGAACCCAATGCATTCATAAGAATTAGGTAGTCCCATATTTCAAAAAAACAGAAAGATTCCCTGACAATGTTTTACTGGACAAAAAAAAAAAAGGGTTGAATGATGGCTAAAGTCATATGAAAAAAAAGTCTGATGAGGCCTTGAGTTAGTGTGGAAGGCTCCACCTTTTTCTCATTTCACTGTTAGAAGATACAGTGTCTGATCTGCATTCTCCTTCAAAATATCTCCATTGATTCTCTGGAAGAAACCAAGTAGAATACTTCACTTACTGTGTTAGAGTTCTAATGTAGTCCTAGCAAAACTAGACTTTTTTCCCAATATAATGTAAGGGTCAAATACTATTTAGTTATGCAGTGAAGCTGGAATTAAATAAATAACTCCTGTTATTGCTACCCAGAAAAATAGAACAGTTTTAATATCTGGTATCAGAGTTCCTGCTGTGTTCCTCTGAGGCTTTTTCAAACCAGAAACTGAACTAAACTCTATTATGGAATCGAAATAACATCCCAGCTGATATTTATTGTCACCTCAAAACAAGAAGTTATTGTAGCATGAAAATAATACAATTCATTTTAAATAACAGAAGATTGTAAGTGTTGGAGAAGTAAAATAAAGTTCACTGACCTTTTCCCTTAATTTTCATTATTTCTCTGATTTATGTTAAAGATCTATGATAAGCCACAAGTGACTGACGCTTAGCTGCATCCTCTGGAAAAGTCTGAAATAACAGGAAATAAAGAAGAACTTAATAAGCTCAGAACTGTGAAATGTTCACTTTGTTTAAAACTCATTTCCATATTCAATCAGGCTATAGGGATGATTTTTAAAATGTCATGGATTCTGCAGACTGACAGGTTTCTTCACATTGGAACTTATTCTCTGTTAAAGTGAAAAATCTTAGGTTTTACTTTCATGCAGATTTCCCTCTACAATCTTGACTTACTCAGTACTAGCTATCAGAGCAAATAGGGGTTAGATTTGGAAGGAAGCCGAGGATCCAGGTAACAAAGCGTGCTTTTCCCATCCACGCTGCCTGAGTAAGTACTAAAAAGTTCCTATTTCCTCCGCTTTGCAAACTGACTCTGAAGATATTAAAAACAGCTATGCCATAAATGGGAAGAAAAGCTTTTGCGTCTATTCAAACCATATAAGTGAAATCCATTTAAATAAATAACAAAACTTCCATTGAAAGCTACAGCATGACTACTACCTATTGTCATGACTGTGGATTTCTTTTTTAACTGCATAAATGCTTTTCTTTTCTCTCGTTTTCCTAAGAGGATATTATTCAACAATCTTTTTCTTTAAATAGAAAACAACTATTAGCCAAATGAAGCCAAATTAAAAGGTGAATTACTCAAATTTTGGCTCTCCAAAAGTGAGGAAGGGGCTAGTCTGCTTATATAAACATCTAGTACATTCTTGGTTCCTTGAACACAGAAGATAACAGATGTAGCTTTTGTTCAAGCTACATTCCAAACGAGAAGCAATTTCAATTTGAGCATCGTTGTCTTCAGATATTAATTCTTCACACCCTTCATACTTTGCCAGCAACTTTCCAAAAGTAAGTGTCAAATGTGAAGAGGGAGGATGAGAGCATCAAATCACACAAATAAGTAAATAGAAGTGTGATCATTTTTACCTTTAGCTATAATGGGTACCATCTGACGTTTTAAGCAGTGAACGGACTGTTTGAAACAAACAGCTGCGACACAGCACTTGTCAGTTCATGGTAATGAAGCAAGCTAGCAAATTTCATGTAGTGACACATGCTTGCCAGTGTGTTCATGTATCTTCAAACTGAAATTACCTTGGCTTTCAGCTTTCAAAAAGTTAAGTTTTTCTTCAGAGGGAAAAAACCTCTCTTTAAAAAAAACCTCAACATTTCACTGTGCCTGGATTCAAAGCGAGTTGTCTCCATTAAGACATTTTGACAGAATATTTTCAAGTGTACTATTCCGAAAAACCCTATTACGCATTTTTTTATTAGACAAGTAGTCATAAATGCTGTTACCATTGACCTACAAAACAATGTGAAAATAATAAAGTGCAGCTACTCCTTGTTTGTTTTTGCTGTTTTCAGGCGACTATATTAAGCAGAACATCATTACTGGTGAGTTTGAATACCCTCTTTTATTTTCTATTCAAATCAAATTTGTCTTAATAGAGAAATATTTTATTTTCTTTTTTTCCCAGCTACTTGCCATAAAGAAACATTTTTGGAAGCACACCCCTCATGAATTCTCCAGAATTAGTTTATGAAATGTGGAGCTGGGTAAAAGTCAGAGTTTCTCCTGTTCACTGTATTTTTAATATGCAATTCTTCTCAAACCCTCTGAAGAATTATCTATCAAATTGAATAGCTGATGCACTTTGAACACTTAGCTCCAAAAGATGGATGACATTTTTTTCATTAGTTTAAAATTTATATGCTACAGTATCTGTCACAATAATAATAAAATCTGACAGTGCAGATCATATGGGTATTTCACACAGCAGAGGTAATGTGTTCTTTGGAAGATAAAATGACAATTTGTTCAAATCATAGATTTTTAAATTTTAGACAAACAAGGTAGCTCTCACTCTATGTATTTCACTCTTTCAGAATCATTTCTTTGCTAACGATACTATGGCAAGATCCAGGCCACCCACGTTCTGTCTCTGTGGCAGTCTGTCAGATTATAGATGTCCAAGAAAATGACCCACAAAGTCTGCTCTGCAGTGCTGTTTGCCCCAGAGACACCGAAGCCTCACTAGATACTGCCTCAGACAGCCTGAGTGTTCCCACGATCCCTAAATATGTGCTTTGAAGGGAGGCCCCTCTCTCCTGCCTACACATCCTGAGGATCCAATGCAGGAGGAATACTAAATACCCTCACCTCTTGCATAGTGATGGCATGCTATTCAGCACACGGCTGTTATTCAGCAGTCATAGTCACTTTTATTTTAAAAACATGTTGTTGGAAGAAGAGCAAGGTGTTTATCTTTTGAATAACAACTAACAGTGAGGTCAGGCTGCCAGGAACTGGGAGATCTATTAACTCTGCCTGCGGGAAATTAAAACTACAGCTCCTAATTCCAGTTGTTGTCTCGCTATATTATTATTATTACTGTGCAGCCAAGGAAATAAGGATCCTGGAGATAGTACTAAAACAAAAATGAAAGGGTATTTGAGTCCGTAATCTAGAATTTAAGTCACTTAGATGTCATGAAATTCTGATTCTAATTAGCCCAGATGCAGCTATACATTAATGCAACTGTATTCCTTCTACAACGTGAGCTGAAACTTCTGTGTAACGCTTCCAGCCTTATACTAACTCTGGCTTATTTGGACCTAGAGTATTTATTTTTCAACAGAGGGATGCTTGCACAGTTTAGACACACCCAGGCTTCACAATTTCCTCATTCCCTGTATTCCCAAAATTAGTTCAGTGCTGGCCTCAACTATGTCTTTAGAAATAAAATCAAACAAAACTCCATATTTATATTCTTAAAATTATTAGAGGTAAGGAGGATAAAACCCTTTACAGAACTGGCTCATCTTTTTTTTTTTTTTTTCTCCTGTAGGACTTGCATTATTCCTGTCAGTTTGCACTGTCCACAGTAAGTTAAGTGTTTAAGGACGTACCCTCAGGTAAAGAAACACAGTTTCCTAGACTGAACAGAATTAATCAGAGATAATTCTACCACTAAGAAATAGAATTTACTATGCCATTTAAATCCTAGAAAAGAAATACAAAAGCAGGAACTTTGAGGAAGAAAATTAAGTAGTTGATTACTAATTTGCATTATTTTCCCTTTGCAGCAGAAACTTCTGAGAACAGCTTTTAGGGTGTTCAGCTACACAGGAGCCACCATACATTTTTTTTTATTTTTGTGCAAGAATTAAGTGGCCATTTGTGAGAGTCCTTATTCCTGTTTCAGCCTCCACAAAGAAAGCTCAGCATAGCGAACTGAATCACTGTGTGTTAGTCAAGGCTTTTTATTTTCATTTTAGAAGCTATAAACTCTGCCCACACTGATGAAGTAATGAATTAAAATCTGAATAGAATAGGATCCTTGAATATTGGAATGAGAATTCAGATTTTTCTCTTAATTTTCAAACTATTTCTTTATTTTCAACAATTTATATGAAAAGATGGCCACCAAAATTTCCCTGTGCTACCACCAGCCTCTTAGGTTTCAGGGTAAGCCAAAGAAATGTAGCTGACTGATAATCTAGATGACGATGCTCATTCTAGATGACAACATTCATTCATAATTTAAATATCCCTATCTTTTGAAATCTTTTAAAAAATTATTCCACAAAGGAAAAGCAGAAAAATTCATCCAGGGCCTTCTCCAGGCAAAATCTTTGCAAGATTTCAATAATCTATCTATTAAAGGGAAGACTTTAAAAGATTCAGAGAGTGCAAGCTTCCCCCTTATATTTATAGGTTATTGGTCAGCACCATTTTTTTTAATTGCTCTAAAATATCTGTTTGGCATCCTATTTTCACTCTGTTTCTTTGCCACGGATGTTCTCATATCTAAAATCTCCCGGTCTATCAGTAAATACTTTTAAATAATTTTAAATTAAAGCCTCATTTGCTGGTCCTTGTCTTACCACACACTTCACATCCAGTCCTGGTTAGAGTTCTTTGAACTGGATAATGACCAAGTGCCAGAGTGAAAGCTTATCTGCTGATAGCTTGCTCCATTTCATCCAGGAAGGAAATAAGACCAGTGCCAGATCTTATTTTAAACAAACATCTGTTATTTTTACCTCTTTCTGAAACCAGGATAAACATATACATGCAATTTATGATTCAAAAACAGTTGGAGCTAGGGAAATTCCTTGTAGTTTTTTTCCTAGTTACCTAGAAGTTTTGAGAAATGTCTCTGTGCTGTACACTATTCCCTGGCTACTGAGAATTTTATCTTGACTTGTGCTATATCATAATTCCAGAAAGGTATATTGCTCCATTTAAATCAAAATATTTTCCCTAGCTGGTCAGTTTTCTCTGAGGCTTTGCTAAATGTATGCCAACCGATTTGCTACCTTGAGCCAAATGATTCATATCACTCTTGTCAAAAAAATGCGTGATTGTTAGGCAATAATTCTCACTCTCCATCAAGATATTTTATGGATATGAAAAAAGCCCCTGCTCGGCTCTAAAATTCACAGGGTGAGATTTTTAGCTTCTCTGAGCCTCAGCTTCAGTAAGCCCTGTATGTTTGAAAAATGACGGATCAGTGCTATACTAAGCTACTTACAGATCTATCCCACTATGACAAAGACTGAGATAGCTTCAAGGGAGCTGTATTCACCAAATCTATTTTGAAAGACCTTTCCAAATATTTGTAAATATCTCTCTTCTTTGCTTTTCAGCTAAGACTGGCAGTTACCCACATCTGATTCTGGACTCCAGTAAGCTTCATACCTCTGTTCTGTCGTAGTGTCCTAAGCTGTTAAGACTTGTGAAGCTTTGCACAATTTCAGATACACTATTTTTCCTGCCAGTGGTTGTATCCAGTGTGCAGTAGCTCCTTGTATAGGAATGACTCAAGCCTGAGAGAATTAAGTATAACCAGTAGATTTTAATGTCATTGTGCACAATCTGAAGAAGAATTTAATTGTTAAAACATGAACACATCTTTAATACTTAAAAAGAGGCCAAACATTCCCATGGCTATTATTATATACCAGCTTTCATGAATGGAATCTAT